CGCTGGGCCTGCTGCGCCTGGGGCAGCTGGCGCTGGGCGCTGCCTTCTGGGTGACGGTGGCGGCTCACAAGTACGAGGGGGCGGCCCACTTCGCCCTCTTCGCTGCAGTCCTGGCCTGGCTCCTCACCCTGGCCCTCTTCGGGCTGAGCCTGCTGGGGCGCTGGGCGCTGGTGCCCTGGCTGGGCTCCCGCTGGCTCCTCACCAACCTGGTGCACGACCTGGCGCTGGGCGTGGGGCTCTACGCGGCCGCCACCGGCATCATGGGCTACAAGGCCGGGCGGAAAAGCTATTGCAGCCTGCCGGGCTATAGCCAGCGCTGCCTCTACAGCGCCTACCTGAGCGCCTCCGTCTGCGGGGGCATCGCTGCCTGCCTGTACCTCTTCTCTGGGCTCTACTGCCTGTCACGGCGCTGCCGGGACCAGCGCGACATCATCTGAGACCCCGTGGCGCTCAGCTCCCCTTCTCTTCGCCCACGGACAGAGCACAGCCCCGCTTCGGGACGAAGTGACCCTGCCACCCCATCCCCTCCCGGCTGACTGCACCGCGCTTCCTCCGGAGACTCCTGCGCAGACGGATGGACAGACAGAGGCCTTCCCCGAGCACGGCTTCCCCTGCATCCTGCCGAGACAGCGTGGACACCCAGCCGCTGCACAGGCCCCTCTCCCACCCCCGGACAGACGTAGTCTATTGCAAGTGGAAGGACCCAAGCGGAGAGCCCCTAAGAGGGACCCCAATTTCTGGGAGCCCCCGAGGTCCCCTGCCCAACTCCCCTGCCCCCAGCCTTGCAGATGCTGCGTGCTCAGGTGGGTGCTGGACTGTCCCCGGGGTGGAGGGGGACTGGCCTGGGAGAGCTGAGCAGGGGACAGTGGTTGTGTAGTGGGGTTGGGTGGGCATAACACCCCCCCGACCTGCTGGCAGCCCCCTCCTGCCGCTCCCAACTGTGCGGCGCCTCCGCGATTCCCTAACGGAGGCTCTGATCTCGGCTTCCCCAGCCCGGGCCCCTCCTCCTGTCTGGCCTGAACACGTCCACCGTCTTGCTGGAGCCCCGCAGGGCTCAGTCCCTCCCTGCCCTGCGCTCTGGGGGTGTGGAGACATCCAGGTCCCGCACAGCCTGACCCGGCGTCATCCCGGCCCCCCGGACACGCTGTCCTGTTTGGGGGCTGAGCCCGCGCAGGGCAGCAAGGCCTCCATCACTGTGGGGCGAGGGGAAGGGCGAGCAGGGCCATAGCCTGGTCCTGTGACCCTGGGCAGGGCGTAAATTCCTCCAGGCTTAGGGTTCGTACTGCCCCGGGATGGGGCCAGGTGCCCCTGGGGTTGAAGGGAGCGGGGCACCGGGTCGTTCTCTCCCCCTGCCCTCCTGCAGCAAGGTTCGTGGCTCTGAGCCACCCAAAGCCACCCAGACTGCCCCGGGGCCCGGCTGCTCCGACAGGGACAGACACGGCCTCACCGGCGGCGCTGGAGGCTGGCCTGCAGCCCTGCCTGGCTCTGCAGCGCTTGGTTTATCATCCAGGAAGACTCTCATCTCGGGACTCTCTGGCTCCATCGCGGGGCCCTGTGCTGCCCGGGGACCGTGGCGAGGCAGAGGGGAAGGGTGAGCGCGGCAGCATGGCCGTGCTGGGCTGCCGCTGGCACCATGGCCGCGGGGGAGCTGGGGCCAGGCGTTGCGGGGACACAGCCTGTCTTGGGGAACAGGAGAAGAGGATGCCGGCAGCGGGCCCGGCCCAGCCCTGGATCAGCCTCCACAGCCCGCCAGGTGCCAAGCCCTTGGGAGGCCATGTAGGGCTGACTGGAGCAACAGGCAGCCAGAGACTGGGAATTTTTGGAGGAGCATCACACCAGGGCTGCCCTGCCACAAGCCCTCCTTGCCCTGCCTGGAGGCAGGTCCTCTCCGTCGCTCCCAGTGCAAGGGAGGGTCTGCCCCAGTGTCTGCGTGGGCTCAGATGGGCGGGATGGGTATCCCCAGCAGCTGGCCATGGGCTCTGGCTGTTGCCTGGGGTTCCCTAGTGCCTTTTTTGGGGTGGAGAGCAGCAGCCGTGATCCCCCTGGGGCTTGGAGGGGTCTGGGGTTGGCAATGGGTCACTGCTTCCATCATGATGTGCCGTCCCAGCTGATCCCCCCTCGTGCTCGGGGGCCCTGCCAGCCCCTGAGCCATCTACCCCTTCCCTGGGCAGTACGTGCTGTCCCTACCCTGTGTCAGGGCTGGTCCCCGACACCGCCCGCCCCCGCCTGCTCCGGTGCAGTCCCTGGCCCAGGCTGCCCGAGACGCCCAGTGGGGCTTCAGTCACCACAAGTGCCTTTCCCTGGCTTTCTGCAGCCCTGCCTGTCGCGCCGGCTCTGTCCCCCTCCAGCCCCCTCTCCGGTGCCTATGGATTCACCTTCCAAATAAAGCAGTATTGGCGCTCACCGGGTGTCTGGGGCTTTGTGCTGGGGCTGGGACGGGGTCTGGGCTGAGATCACACCCGGCTCTGTAGCCCTGTGCCCTGGGGCCTCCCTGCCTGGAGCCTCTGGCCATGGTCACAATGTCCTGGTGTGCTCCAGGGTCACAGGTGGGCTCCCCGGTGCTGAGCCACCGCTCCCGGTGGACAGGCTTAAACCTCTGCCCTTGGGGACAGGGGCTGTCCCCCGCCCCACTGCCCCTTCCAGAGACAGGGCACAGCCTAGTGCTTATCCGGGTGCGGGCGCCTCCCGCTGCCCCCCGCTGCAGAGGGTTGCCAAGTCCCCGGGGCTGTGTGGCTGGAGAGACGTGCTGGGGACAGGATGGAGCTGCATTCCTACGGGCTTTGTCACTCCGGGCTGAAAGGGCTCTCTGTCCTGGGGCCGGGGCACTGCTGGGCAGTCGTGCCCATGCCCCTGGGGCCCTGGAGAGCCGGGGGCAGGCTGGGGGCAGCCAGCATCTCCCGGGGCTGGTTCCGGCCCTGGGCCGCACTCTCAGGACGGGGATCAGCCTTGGACCTCTATCCATAGCTGGGGTGTCACTGGGCCCCCCAGCCCTCTGCCTGCGGGACACGTGCCCTGCTCACCGGAGGCTGCGGGCAGCCGGCAGCAGTGTTGAGCCCTGCGCTGCCCTCATAGCCCGAGAGCCGGCATAGGGTTTACAAGGTTGCGTGGAGTATTATGGGATGGCACCCCCCCCTTTTGGCATCGGATGCAGCCCAGGTTC